CCCCAAAACCCCAAAACCCCACATCTTGATATATAATCATTTTTTTAAATCGGATAATTTAATATGAAGTAATCATTGAGAATCATTATTTTCGGCTGATTAAATGATGCTGCCATTATTATTGTTACTAGTATTTTTAGGTTTATTTTATAAGACTTGCACTCTAGTGACTTAGCTGTCATTCGAGTGGTTATCAAAAGCATAACTGTATCTATGATAGTTAAGCCGACGACGGCTCCCTACACTTCTCAAATCAGATATCGGAGGTTCAAACTGCTCTACTAAATCAGCTGAGTGTATCTAATCTACCATGAAATTAATTTGAGGGTGATTGCCTGGTCTAGCTATACTACCTTATCTAGCAAATGCTTCCTCATTAAGTTACAACAGACTCAAATCACCCTCCCCGTGTCTTTGTATTATACTAATACTTTACTCACTGGATACTTCGAACACATTGTTTAAGGGTTAAGGAGCTGGTCTTATTTCCTAAACTACTTACTGAGATGAAATATTTTTAATCGTTGCGGAGCCTGTTACATTAGCCATAATACCTTAGTTTTAAAAGATTTTCCCTAAGGAATCAGGCATTTCCTTCTTATTTCCTGGTAGATGCGAGTTCCTCTTATCCACAACTTCTTTCACTCTCTTCTCAGAAAGAGGTTACTAAGATCCCTTAAGTTTTTTTAACTTCTGTCTGCGTTTCTTATTCTTTTGGTATTCATTGAAAACCTACACCAAATCGCTTCTGCAAAGTGGGCAACTAGTGTGATTGCTTTTGGATTCTTGCTCCAGCCATTTCTTAATACACTATGAATGAAACACGTGCTTGGGGTTGCATTTGAGCTGAGTGATTTTTTCATTCTCTGCTTCGAGCTTATCTTAGCATATAGCACATTCAAGCACCCCTCCTCCTTCTTCTTATATTTAGTATATCTTGACTTTATCAATTGGCTTGCTCCATTAACTGATTACTTTTTTAACAAATTAGAGTGTCTCTTTGTACTTTTTATTTTTCAATTCATTTTCTGCTCTTCCGTTTACTTCAGCAACACTTTATTGATTCCTTGAATTTCTGGCAGCAGACCTTCTTTGCTAATTGCGATTTCTGTTGACCTGAGGACTCAATCCTCCAACGGAAGCGTTAATGCTATTGCTATTATTTAAGTTAGCTTCGTAATCCCAAAGGTTCTATCCTCTCTCATCATTATTGTTCCCAAGGTCATCTTCATCCTGAACTTTGCAAATATGGAAAAACTTAAGAATTTTATTGATCACTCGGTAGATTATGTAAAAGATTACGAAAAGAAATGAGACTATCATAAGGATTATCACTGTTATCAAGAAGATAATTGGTTTATAGAGTACCATGAAAAAATTAGCCCCGTAAACTCCAAGGTATATATAAAATATCAACTGATGCTAGTTCTAAACTTCATCTTTCTCGTCACTAGATACTAAGTCATAAATGAAGAATCTAACGAGTGCTATGTTGGCAAATAGATAAATAACTTGTACGAATTTAACTGTAAAGCCAAAAGTAAAGCCACAATGCGAGTATATTTTATTGCTAAACTTAGGACAACAAACTATCTTATATAGCTTTTCCAATACTGCGTTACGATAGCCATTTTGGAATATCATTTTGATTTTCTTTCTAATTTGATTAGACTGATAGTCGGTGATAATTGTGCATGCTATAGAGATGAAAGTCATAACAGCATGTGATATGATTATCGATATTTAAACATTAGCGAACTCACTTTGCATCTCATCATTCATAATTATGTAAATAAGCACCATCTCAGTTGTAAATAGAAGAATGCCTGTACTTATCACAAAGAAAAACAGGATTGCAAACAAGCAGTTCATTATATTTTTCCGCCTTTTTTGCGCTTCAGATTCTTAGTTATTCGGATTGTCATCAGGCTCCCTAAAAATGATTCCATCATCATTGACTTAGGAAATTTCACGGTCATTAAAGGCATACGAATGTATTGATTCATCCATTATAAAATATAATTCGGTTTAATAATCTTATTAAAATTAAAAATATCTCCCTTGATGCCCTCTCTTTTATACTAATCATTGTTTTAACAGCATTATAATTTCTCACTCTTTCAACTGTAAAACTCAAATCTTCTAGTCCATTCCATAAATGTTAACAAACCTTTCAAAATAGAGTTCCTTATTGATATTTAACTCCTTCACAATCTATTTGGTGCTACATGCTTTGCTTTTTTCATAGCCATAGGCTATCTGATGTTGCTAAACCTAGGCTTCGATTTTTTCACCTCCTCTTTCGCCTCGCACACGTCTTATTAACTTATGATTCACCAATGGATTTCTCTCCTGCATATTATTGATAATCTAATCAGCATAGACAGTAGTCAATTCATAAGTTAGACTCTTCATAAACTCATTTCTCCAGTCCTTTCTACAATGTCTATCATAGTTCTTATAATCATGTGTTTAAGAGGTCTTTCTAGAGTAATACTCAGACATATTCCAGACCTCACGCTTTTTCAGGTAGTGCTTATGAATAGAATTGTATGAATGCAGCTTAAAGAGATTAGGCTAGTCTGGTTCTTCAATGTATTGCAAGTAAAATGTACACTTGTCTTGATAAAGATCTCTTTCTTTCTTTTTGAACTTCGAATCTGTGCATTTGAAATTGACTAGTCTATAGCATTTCGACACATTATCTCCTGCCACCATGCAAGAGAAATGTCTTTCTGCTGCCAGTCCCTTAATTAAATGAATCAATTCAGCTCTAGTGCATTTAAACACTCTTTGGAATTCATCAAAGTTATCTGTTTCAATCGATAATAGGTTTTCATCTTTAGGCACGCGGACGAAATCTAGATCTAGCCTTTCATTTGGCTAATAATTAATGTCAAGGTTTCTATTAATTGAGTTTAAAGATTCATCCAGAGGTATTTCATTCATTACCTAATCATCATCGAATAAGGAGTTTGACTCTTATGTTCTTTCTCCTGTAAAGTACAGATTTTTATCCAAAAGAGGTTCACACTTTAATTTGGCTTTGTTGTTAAGACTAGACGGATCCTAAATTAAGTCATTATCAATTACAAGATTGCTGCAGGTAGCATTGCTTATGTAGCCACTTGACCCATTCTCTCGTAGATTCTCGAATTCAGTATATTCTGGCCCCATATCATTTTTCCTTAGGGTCTAATATCTCCTTCTTACTGCAGCTGATACATATTCTCCAAGAATATCTGCTTTATTAACTCGACTTTTGAAAATCTGAAACATTCTGTTTTTATTATCAATGATCTTTTCATTTATTAATTCCCTCTTTTTTATCATTGAGCTATTTTACCTATCAGATCATTTTTATCTATCTTGGCTGTTGGGCTACAGCATTTTTTATGTGATGCTTAGACCACTATTTAAACTTTATTATTGAGCCTAGGATTCCTATTCGCTTAGTGTGGATTTAGTCTCCCCAATAATCATAATTTCATCTTCATCATCATCATTATTTACTGAGGCTTCTGATTAAGGCATTATTGCGAGCTTATTGACTGGTATTTACAATTCGCTATTGATTTATTGAAGTTTCACCACTTCAGAGCTCTTAAACTCCAGATCCTTAAAAATGTTATTAGGGTTATTATTGTCCTCATTTTCGATCTAAATCCTACCCATTTAATCAATATACTCCTATCTGCATATCCTAGCTAGTCTATTCTGCTACTCTACTTGCTTTTCTTTTTCTTGCCTCTCCCTGAGATCCTTTGTGTATTATTCTTTCAGCTGCATTGCAAATCTTCGAGTAGGAGTCATTTTAACCCTTTCACTTTGACATCTTATGTGATCTATCATTATAGTGAACTGATTTTTGGAAACCAAAATCAAACTATCATTGTCCTCTAGCTCATTTATAGTTTCTATCGGCAGATAGTTATTCTTCACCAGTATATAATTATTTAAACTACTTTCCTTGAAAGTTACGTTTTTCTGAATAAATTGGAACACTTAATCATGCAGATCCATTACTGTTTTCAATGCACTTCGATCTAGGTTTAAACCTATTAGTCTCTGCTAAGGTGACAGAAACACCCTCAGATATAGCATTGGGGGTCAATTCTAATATGAAAAGGGATAGAAGTTTTAATTTTGCAATTAATAATTTTGCTTCTCTCTTATTCTCTTATTTTTACTGGCGGGGTTTTGGGGTTTTGGGG